ATAATAATGTGATGAAAAAGCTTAATGCGTCATTTATCATGTATCGCTAATCAACTACTCACAAAACATCAAAACAATACTATAAAACCAAAAGACAAAAGAGTCTACAAAAAACTTATTGATTCCCTCCTCTTCCTTACACCCCCCCTCCCCCCGCCTCCTACTTCTGTATAGTTTACAAAACAGCAGAGGAGAATGAAAAGAAAAACAACAATAACAATCAGAGATAAATAATCGATTAGTAGTGAGATAGATTATGGAAGAAAAGTGTATTATACTCCGTCAAAATTTTACTTTATTTATGCTTCTTTCTCATTCATCTATTCATTAAATGAATGCACAGAAAGTTGATTACAAGTAAAACAACAGAAAAGAATCAAATCTATAGACAAGATGCGATGTTATGCTAGCGATCTAATGTTCATGTTTGTGAGAAGTTGATCTATATATACGAAGATAAAGGAAGACAGAGTTTGTTGATTGTAATAGACAGTATTCTTTATGATGTTCATTGTAATTATGAAGTTGCAATTTAAAAACTCCTTTAACATAGGGATACCTTTAAAGGTAGACAGACAATATCGGTACTTGATAGGCATAGATAAGGAATGGTTCAAGTAACTATACTCTTCACATCACATCGACGTGGAAGTCTGGAAGAAAAACAGTTTTCGAAATTTACTCAGCGACAACATGCACCTTTGCGTAGTAGACGACGAGCCACACCTGTCCTGTGAGAGGTAATGATACCATGTGGCTGCCTAAACCTCAGTAGGAAGAGAGGGATTAGAAACGGTGACGCATCGCTTGGCAGTCGCTCTCACACCCCATCCAGCTAGCAGTAGTACGACTTCGCCCTTAAAGCCCCATCACCGTATAGTAATTTACACTACACTATCTAACAGACCTTTGTGGCATAGTGGGACCCTAAGGAAACAAGGAAACATAGTGATATACAAGCACGACCACCACATCGAGGTAGCAGCTATCGATCGAAAGTGACTCTTCAGTTGCCTGAAACCCAGCCTGGGACTGAATGAGAAGTAGATGTCAGTCCTCCAACTGTCTTGAAATTTGAGAAGCCTGTTTCAGGACCAAACGGTGTGTCACCAGGTTTGAAGCAAGGAGGTAGGCAATTAGTGAGTAAATTGCCTGAGGTATTAGGTGGCGCATGGGAATCAGACATAGTCCCATCCGACTGGTCTAATTCACTCATTATTGCAATCTATTCGAAAAAAGGTGTGTCAGGTCACAACCATAAGGAAATTACTTTGACTCATTCTGTCCAAAATCCTAGGGTTCATAGTTATCCGACGCCTAACTGGAGCTCATGGACAACAAACCCGAGAAAACCCGGTAGGTTTCAAACAGACCTGGACAAGGGTACATAGATCAGATTTTGACACTCTGAGAGCTTCTGAAACGCAGGCATACTTACCGCCAACAGCCGGCACTTGCAATATCCCTTGACTTGAAGGCAGCATTCGACTCTGTCGACCATGATGTGTTGTGACAGTATCTAACTGTGAAAGAAGTACCGAGGAATTATGAGATGCTTATCAAAGCCCTGTACTCGAATTCTTACTGTCATGTTATGGCATATGGAGAGTAGTCTTCGGAACTGAAGAAAACTAGTAGTGTACGGCATGGATACCCACAGTCACAGTTCCTATTTAACTTCGTTACAGACATACCTATGAACATGACCTTAGGCACATCTGACTCCCCAGGGATTGATCTACTCTATGTGAGTAATGTAGAGGTTAGGCGAAAGATATTAGGGAAAACAGGACTATCAGTCTATGGGTTTGTGAACATGAAGTGACTGAAGTGCTCGTGTTGCGCATGACGAGGTACCGCCCTCGTCAACGTATAATGATAGAAGTTGGAAGAAGGCTGATTATGGCCAGACAAAGTCTTTGCACCAATACAGGAAGTCTCTGATTGTTGGTCAGAGCCAAGTAGGGAGGCGTAGACTACCTGGCTCGGGTCCCCAAGATGATTGAGGACTCTTGGTGGCATGGCCGAAAACCTGTCACTGGTGCAGATGTGTTCACTTTCTAATGACTTTGAAAGCTTGGTTGTTTTGAACAACCTTAATTTATAAATTTTCTCTTCTCTCATCTATATCCTAGTCTACTTTGGCATCACTTTTTCTATCCACTTGTTCTTTGTGTATTATTGCGAAGTGTGGCAACTTGAACCGACGCATTTGTGTGCGAGTTTCTACGTTAAAGTTGTCAAACTAACTGTAGTGTTAACCAACGTACGCAACTGGTCTTAATGCCTTATTGTCATAGTCTTCACGAAAGGTGACAAATATTCAAGTGATAACCACAGGGGGATCAGCATGATAGATATAGTGTTTAAGATTCCAGGTTCGCTGAAAGCAGCTCTAATGTCCACATTGCCAAACTGCATTTGCTGTAGTTTTGTTGCGACCAGTAAGGCGCAGACATACGCATGATCGCTGCCCAAGTATTCACCGTAGAGTTGACATAAGTAGACACTACATCGGGAAGTACCTCTCTATTTCCAGTAGGTTGGTGACGACCAAAATAAACGGTTATCATAGCACAGTTGTAGAAGGCAATCGCCGTTATTTATTTCTTCAGCTGGTATTCGGAAAGTACAACCCAAATGGTTTCCTGTCTGAATTCGCCTATCAAATTCAGCTGCGATAACCAAGTCTGAACGTTTAACTGTCAGTACGCTGCTAGACGGTTTTCAGTAAAACTTACCCTTCACTTCATCTAAACTGCTGTCAATGGACGCGTAAGCAGGGATCAGAAAGAGACAACGCTGAGTTTCACCATTCTACTTAGTCTTCACTTCCCCCATCCAGTCGAACAGCACACAGGTGACTGTCAGCTGGGATCAGGTCGGGCGGTGCACTTTCAACCTTGGTACTTAATGCTACCTTCATATCTGCAGGACTACGAGAACTGGCCATCAAATCTCCAGAAACTGGAACCATGGATTTGCCATATTGACTGGGGGAAGTTAAGTGAATAACCGCACTTGGATCCTGTATGCGAGTCTCACAAACGCGACGAACAGGATCGGAGATGACACAGTTTTAGTTAGCGACGGCCGTTGGCCGATTTAACGAAAGGTGCAGACATTGAAACCTCCAATATGTAGTTTGGAGCGGGGTCTCAGGAGACCAAAGATGTTGTTCTGTAAACTCAAATCCCCTTCAAGAGCTCCACAGCTGAACTAAACTAAAGATTATGTAGGAATGTTGACCACGGGAAATGAAGGAAGATTAGAAGTTAAGGATATGGAAGGTGGACAGTGATCTGAGGGAACTTGAGTGCTGATGGAGTTGTCAGGACGGTCGACACTTCCCGGCTGCCCACACCGTGAAAGGCGGGTTCTTCTTGAGGCACCTGGAAAAGAAATTGGGTTAGTGGTGGGGTGGTGAGGGACCATGGACCCCAAGACATCTGCTTGAAGCTGGTCATTTATGTACTTTCTGGAAGTTTGAGATTTAAGCTTGTCCTGAATTCGGCTGTGAGACCCATACCGGAATAATCCTTGTCGGGGTGTGTGCTGTTTTTAGCACTGAACTTTTCTTGTCACTCTTTCGATAACGATATCAACAACAAAATGGACTACTGCTCTTCTGTGAGACACAGCTTACTGACAACACATGCGTTAAGGTGGCAGTAGGGTTTTGCATCCGTTTCCTTTCATAACGCAATAATATACGCTGACAGTAGCTGCATTCTGTGTTAGCACTATCGAAAGGATGATTCTGCCGTGGTAGCACCCTGAAGGAAAGATGTTTCCACCAGCATAGCCTCCTTGGGTCATTGTGATATGCAAGCCCAACCACCATGTCAATGCAGCAGCCACTGGTCGGTTGGGGATCATGTCTGATTCCCGTGCGCTAGCTAGCGCTTCAGTCGATCTTGTGAACAATCCTAAACTATCTTACTTAGATACCTCTGGCGCCAGTTTACGTGGCCCTGCTGATGTTTCTTGTTTCAGGTTACTTAAAGGCTTCCTAACTGCAGGAGTCGTTGTAAGGCTTACCTCAATCTTACATGTACGATCTGAATCAGCAGCAGGAAACGCAGATGTATTCTCTGATTGATACCTCTTAAAGTTAGGACATTTTCATTAACCCGCATTTTCGAATTTCTCATTACATACAATTTTGTCTACTTGGATATCATACTTTTGTTTTTCAATTGTAATTTGCATACTGCTGTGAATTTTGGCAGCTTGAACTAGTGTACCTCTACACAAAGTTCTGCGCTGTTTATGTCTGTCCCACTGTCCGCTTGTCTATGGAAAAGGTACCCACCATAAGTCAGTTATTTTCAGTCTACCGAATTATAGAACCACTCATGCTACGTACGGAAACGTTTCGATGAAAATACTTTAGTTACTAGCACACCCCAGAAAATAGGTGGAACTATTTGGTTATTGTTTGAGTAGTTATAAATTAAAGGAATTCGTAAAACCCATTCGAATAAACACTATGCAGTAGAGTCACCAGATGGGAAAACAAGTTAATGGACTACAATCATTTCCGTAATCTAAATTACTCCCTATGAACAGTCAGATACAGGGTATGAGAGCGTTAATTTAGATCAAATCTGCCAAACAGTTATCAAAATCTGAAGATTCAAACATATTCAAATACCAAACGCAAAATCAAAAAATTCCTGTTATCTACTGCTGGAATTTGTAGCAACTTAACCGGTGTATTCTCGTGAAATTTTCTACTTTACCTGTACGCCATCACATATTCAGATCCTACCCGAAATTGTATGCATGCTTCCCAACAGAAGTAACATAAAAACCCTATGCTGATTTCGTTAAGGGCAAAGACAATTTAGCCGGGTTAGAAACGTAATTTGTTGCTTTATAACATATGGTTATATATATCATCATATACATGCATCAAATTTCACACTGATTGTGAAGAAGTATGTACAACTCTAAAAAGGCATAACACCGTAGTAACTACAAAGCTAATCACTTACATTATTAGGAGTACCTGTTGGCATATATATTTTAGCCTGAAGGCTAACTTTAGGACCATCAGGGACTGGCAATTCTTTCTCTGTTATTGGGCAAATACCGAACGTTGAAAATAATTCACTTCGAACATTCAGTATTTCTTGGGAAAAAAAAGAATGAGCAAGAAGATAACAGATACCTTTTTCCAAAATCTTTCCAACATGAATGTACAAACCAGGAGATGTTAATAGGTTTGTCCTATCCGTTAATAATTCCTTGAGATAATCAAGAAGATATTTTGTGTTTTCAAATTCTGAGGTTTTCTCGGCACACATTCAGGTATGAAATAGTGAAACTGTGCCGTTATGTAAGAAGACAGATGAGACTAAGAACAAATCATCGGTTGGTTGGAAAGCTGTGGAAAGTTCACTTCTGTGAGCGTCAGATGGATCTCAGTAGACAGGATGAAAGCGACATCTCAACTAGAAGTGTACAACCTGAAAGATTCACAACAGAAGGCATAACACTTCTAAGATTAGTGAATACACAAAAATGCAACCACTTTCAAACATGAGTAAAGACAAAAGAGAATATAATTGCAGTCTTAAATGTTTTCAAAAACACACAGGACTATGAAACTTAGCGCTAGAGATTACGACAGCGGTAAGGAAATGACATTTATGAATACATATCGCAATGAAGCTGGTGAGAAGATACTCGAAGCAAACTAAATGTCAGTTTATAAGGCCACTTTAAGTGAGTGATGTAGATAGGACTTCAAATATAGGTCGATATACTGTTAAATGAGTATCTTCCGAGCTGTCGTATCTAAAACACTAGTTACTCATGTGGAAAACATTTGGGTTGTAGAGGTATATTAGCTTTTATACACAGAATGAAAAAGAGAAAAGTGTGGGTTATTAGCTTAGGTGTTTAAGTTTTAAGCAATACGTCATGAGTTTAAACTCCGTTTTCTCTACTCCGATATGGGCGATAGGATAGTACCATAAATCTGTTTACATAGTGTGTCAAATTTTTGAATATGATACTCTGGGAATTAGAAAAAAAGCAACAACATGCTTATACAAGAAGAAATGAGTCTCATGCAGCGAAGGACCAAACGATTCAGCAGAAGATGAAGATGAGATCGGTAAGCTGTCATAGGTTTATCTTTCGTCGAACTCTGTATCCGACTACCTTTCGAAATTGACTGTAATCATAAAGTAGGGAAAATACTCGGTGGATTAACATAATAAACCTTGCTACTTTCCGTGAATTCGCTTGGAAAAGATGTTAAGAGGAAAGTTACACATATACAGAAGACTTAACCAAAAGGAAAATAGAGAATAATATTTTAATGAGAACAAACACCTTGAAATAACACTAGTCTATTGAAAATAAAGATCGAGAATACCAACACAGAACGTGGCATTACTGTATGACGGTCCATGTTTTCATAGAACATTATGAAATCAAATGATAATGTACTAAGATGAAGCACTAAAAAAGTGGTAGAAAGTTACAAGAAGGAATGAGGTAATGCTGAAATTCAGAATAACGATTAAAAACAAAATAATGTAGGGGTGCATCTGTGCCACTGAGATTGATTCTGAGCCATACAACCAATTTCCGTAGTCATCTGGACTTAGACCGGGAAGCCTACAATCCTCAAGCGTTAATGTCATGCATCAGTCTGGCCGTGGCTAACCCTTTTCCAGCGCAAACATACTTCAGCTAACATTGTGAGACAAACATGACAGTGACTAAGCATACGTAACATGTCCCAGTCACCTCCGTTAAAGAGTAGCCACAACCTCATACAATGATCTGTCTAAAACTTTATGCCACACTTCTACTTTGCCGATGAGGTGGCACCGCAGAATGTAACCTATGCAACGAAGACATTGGTGATCGAATAAATGAAGTCTTCCCATGTCCTCTACCTTTAATGGTAATGTCTCATAGCCATGGTATAAAAGAGAGCAAAATGCAGAGCAGTATGCTAGACTCTCAATACCCAATCAGATAATACGGTAGAATCATCCATGGCGAAGTCAGAAAAAGCGTTTCCGTGCAGAGATTTCGTCGGTCACTAACTAACGCACCAGGGCTGATTCAACTTCCCACGTAAGTGAAGTGCTCAACTATCTCACCCCCTATTATAAGAGCAAAAATTCGTATTTAAGTGGTAAGAAACGTATCCCTAAAATTCTCGAATCACCACTCAAGTTGTCTAGGAGATTCTGCAAATTGTTAGCATTTTCACTTAACACGACTATATCATCTGAGTATTCTAGGTCAGCAAAGGATTCTTCTGTGATAAGACCGATTCCTGTGGAGTCAGATGACGAGATGGAGATCTCCATAAGAAAGTCTATGAATTGACTAAGAAATTAAAGTTGAATAAGAATAAAGAGTGGACATCCTTGACGCACACTAAGATGTACACAACTCAATATTAGCACTAACATGCCCATGCGTGGCGTTCAAGTTATAACAGACTTCAACAGAGTGATAAACTTACTTGGTAAGCCCTTTAGTGAAACGTACTATCATAGGACCTCATAACCGACGGATTAGGATGCCACCTTCACATCGAGAATTACAGTCGATATAAGGCATCGTTAAGTGTACCGGTATTCCATAACCTGGTGCAGGGTGAATATCTGGTTGATACATCCGCGGACAGGTCTGAAGTCTGTCTAGTTTCAATTTGACTGCTGTTCCAGACCTCCGTTAAGATATCGAATCACTATACGATCTAAACTCCTAAACACTATGATCGTCAAGCTGATTATCCTGCAGTCATCACAGAAGGAATTCTCGGCTTTCTTGAAAACTCGAACAATCAGTGACTGAGGCCAGTCAGAGAGGATCGTATCTGACCCCCACACACCAAAAAACACTTCAGCTAACTCGACTAGTAATCCACTACCACTATCCTCAAATAACTCTTGTACTAGTACGTCTGACTCTCCTGCTACTCCTTGTCTCACCATTAGTCATACCTTCATCGAGTTCTGTAATTGTTGACGGTCACATGTCAACATCCCATTCAGGATACGATTGCATGGAGACCTACCGAGACCAGCCGCTAACCAGTTGAATCACTCTTCGAAGTTTTCCACCCATCGTTCCAGTCGTCTCCTCTGATAATAAACTGTAGATCCACCATTCTCCGATATAGTCTCACTAGCCACTGACGCTTTTGCTTCAGTTTCCTTGATAAGTCTAAGTAACTGTCTTCTGTTGCTTATCGCCACCCCCTTTTCCATCTCACCACCCTTCCCCCTCGCTACTCACCACTACTAATGGTCATTGCATGAACTCTCTGACAATCCATATATGAGTTGCTTTCATTTCTCATTGTACTTGGAGTCTGCAGGCATACATTTACACGTATCCATAAATTCAGGGAAAGCTGTTGGGAACCACTGGTGCATTCTAACCTCTCTTTGAGAGTCAGTTACGATCATTAACGCTGTTCTCACAGCAGGTTGGAAACGTAGCCAGGTTCCTGGGTGAGTCATATTGACCTATTCCGATAACCTTCTGATTAATTAATTAAAAAAATAAACGCGGAACCTTGCACACAACTGCATTTTCTCAAGTTGCCACGAGTCACAGTGGGGCACAAAGAGTAGATGAAGAGAAGAAGACTGATATCGAAGAGGATAAAGTAGTGTGAGACAATAACCAGATTGAAGATAGAGTTCAGTGCGAATATTCAAGCTTTAGAGAATGGCAAAGAGTGAGTACATCTGTACCAGTGACCGATTTTCAGCCATATCACCAACAGTCCTAAACCACTGATTCCTTCCATCTTGTGGACCCTAGCCGGGCAGTCTACATCGCTCCACATAACATAGATCAACAGTAAGAGACTTAACCGACTGGTGCCACGTCTTGACCTGGCCATCCTCAACGTCCCCAGCACGGTACGTTGAGGTAGGTGGTGGCCTGACATACATAGTTCATGTCCAAGTCATCTCAGTCGACCAAGGTTCACTTCCTCATCAATCGGCTTGCCCATCTTACCGCTTAATACCTTTCATCTGACCTCAACATTGCTCACACGGTGAATCCACCAAACGCGACCAATGTTACGAAGATACCTATCATCAAATACCTGTAACCGCTTCATGTTTTCTACTTTAACGGCCATCTCTCACAGTCATACAAAAAGACAGAGAGAACTGTAGAGCAGTATACTAGTCCTTTGATACATAGTCGAGTGTCTCTCCGGCTCCACAGGTGACGCAAGTTGGTAAGTGCTAATCAGACTCTGTATCCAAGCTGATAGCTCGTCAACAACCAACAACATTAGGTTGATGCAACTCCCCGAGTAAGTGAAGTGGTCGATACATTCCACCACTTAACCCCCCCCTCCCCCCGAGATTGCACTAGGAGAGTTTGCAAACTAGTCCTGGGAAATCATCTTCCATTTGACAGGTGCCAGAGAAAAGCTTGCTAAAAGTACTCAGATTACTGCTCCGCACATTCAAATGACCCTTCATTACGTCAGTGTTATCATCTAGCAGGACAATTTCGTCCACATATTCCAAGTCAATCAGATGACCTCCAGGAAGTAGGCAAATCACTGTGAAGTCAGACGTGCCTAAGGTTATGTTCACTAGTATGTCTATAACGAAGTTAAAAAGGAATGGTGACAGTTTGCTTCCCTTCAGGACGCCACTAGTCGTCGTCAGTTCCCATGACAACTCTCCATAAGCCTTTACACGGCTGCGTGAGTTCGCGTATAGCTTTGGTCATCGTTACATATTTCCCTGACACTCCTTTCACAGTTAGATACTGCCACAACACCATAAGGGAAAAAAAGAGTCGAACGCTGCCTTCATGTCAAGGAATACATTAGGTGAATGTCGGCAGCCTGTAGGTATGTCTGTGTTCCAGAACCTGTCGGTAGGTGAATATCTGATCGATGCACCCTCGTCCAGGTCTGCCTGAAACCTGTCTGGTTTCCCGACTTTGCTGTTCTCAAGCCCCAGTTAGGCGTCGGACAACTATAAACTCTAGGATCTTGGATATAACATTAGTCACACTAATTCCCCCTATATGGCTGTTACAAGAAGACTTCTCTATCTTCTTACAGACTGGGACTACCAGTGAAGATCAGTCTGATAACATTACCTCTGATTCCCATACATTATCTAGTATCTCCGACACTTTAGACAGCAATTTCTTATCTCTATTCTTGAAAAATTAAGATGGCAAACTGTCAGGTCCTGCTGCTTTGGATCGTTTAACGTTGGATATAGCTTACTTAACTTCGAGAAGAGTTGAAAGAACCAATATCTACGTCCCATTCACGTTT